TGTGGGTGTAGGTGTGAGTGAGGGTTGGGGTGGGTATGTGTGTGTGCATGTTTGTTTGTGGGGTGTAGGTGGGTGTCTGTTTATGTGTGTGTGTTTGTGGGGATGAGGGTGGGGGTGCTTTGTGTTTGTGGGTGTGTGTGTGTGTGTGTGGAGGGGGGTTGGGTAGGTGTGTATTTGTGTGTGTGTGTGTGTTTGTGGGGGTGGGCTTGGGAGTGGGTGAGTGTGGGTAGGTAGGGGTGTGGTGGGTTTGAGGTGTAAAGGTGGGGGTAGGTAGAGGTGGGAGTGAGTGGGTGTTTATATTTTAGAAAAAATTTTGGAATTAGAAAAATGTGGAAAAACAATGATTACTGGTTTTCCAAAAATTTCCAACTTCTTTGTAATTTTAGATAACGGAAAATTTTCATTTTTCGTGAAAATTTTAGAAAAATGGACGAACTAAACGCGTTTTCAAAATTCTCATTTTTCTTGGAAAATTTTTCCGGAAAACGGTCCATTTTTCCGCAACTAAACGCACCCTAAGAGTCTACAAAGCTATAAAGATCAAAAAATATCATGAAGAAAAATTCTAAATCGAAGACTTGAGAATAAGACAATTTGCCAAGTTATTTTTATTGTAATTTTTATTTCTAGGTTATTTTACTATATGTATGCTTGGGGGCTTAACCAAAAATTACCATGATGCTAAGAAAGATATATGAGGATATATTTGGAGGGATGCATAAAATGAGTGTTGTTCAAAACAAATGGGGAAGTGTTTATGAAGATTGTGAGTATTTAGGATGGGGGAAGTTCTTTTGAAAAATTATACACAAATACATGCATTGCTGTCTTGATGTAATCGAGAGGCTCAAAATGGATTGACTTGTGCGATGTTAATGGCTAGGGTTTTGATATAATAATAATAAAATCAGTTTTGCTTGAGGGAAAGCAAAAGCCAAGTAGGGTTATTTTGATATGTGCATATTTAGTCATATAATTCATGCATATTTCTTAATACTTTTAGCTATAATTATGCTTAATTTGGGATAAAGGTGCTTACTATCTTTGAATTCCGTTTTGGACAAAAAGGAAGTAAATGAGGAGCTAGAAGCATGAATGGATGAGCTAAAACAGGAATAAAGAAAAAGAAGACTTGAAGATAGAGGACCACAACATGGTGATCGTCCACCACGACGTGGCGAATGGAAGAATCTCGATCATTAACGTTGACTTGGAGAAAACAGATTTTGACGAAGATCACGACGAGGTGGCGGTTGACCATGTCGCGGTGACCCGTTTTATGGTAACCATAAGTATCCGATTATTAGGTCGAATGGGGAGACTTTCAACCAGTTTTCTGAGGAGAATTGAGATTAAAAACCTCTGGAAACTCAGTAGAAGATCAAGAAGCAAGTGGAGCTTAAGAATTGAAGAAGATTAGAAGAATTATACATAGATTTAATCCTGTCTAGTCTTAATTACATAACTTTTGTGTGTTTATCTGCTACTATGAGAGGCTAGAAACATTTTACTTCTATTTTGTGAAGATGAAACTAATCCTTATGTTTTGATTTCATTTATTGGATGATAGATGCTGATTTTACTTGTGTTTGATACTTAAACCCTAGCATGTTTTAGTTCTAGCTTATATTGCTTATTAATAAGATTCTGTCTGATTGTTGATCATTCTAATTGCATGAATTTGTTACCTAATTGTTTATGATCGTTAAATAATTATAGCTAGGATTAATCACATCTTAGATAAAGTATTTAAAGCCAGTAACTTTAACTTTGTTATAGATCATAACTGATATTAAGTTGTGCTTGGTTGCTTAAATTGGTTATAGGAAAGTAACTACTATCATTCATAGTCCAATTTGTGTTCATTATCGATTTAGTGTTTAACTTGTGCTTGATCGTTGCATGGTAATTCATAAATTCATAAGTCCAGATATTTTATCATAATAGCTAGTTAACAAATTGGTGATCAATATATTTTATCCATTAGAAATCAATCATAGGAGAAGGTGAAATTGGATCTAAGCAGAAGTAATATTTAATTCTTGAAGTTTATTTATTTTCTTTTCCTATTAATTGAATTAAGTTCTTCTGATCTTACAAAATCAGTAAAAACCCCCCAATCAAAATATGCTTTTTTAGTTTAATTAGAAGTCGTTAGATTAATTAATTGAATTCTGTTCCCCGTGTTCGACACCCGACTTCCCCAAGCTATTTTATAATCTGACTATGTACACTACCTATAGGTGTATAATTAGTTACGTTAGATAGGTTATAAATTTAAAACAAGTAGGTATTATTGTGCACATCAGTTGGGTTGATCTTGTTATCAGAGTATAGGGTCCATCGTGCATATATATACACTCCATATAGATATAATATTTGTGGGCATATGGTTATTGTGTAGTAGGGTGTTGGGTATGGTTAGGTCTAGGGTTAGGGATGGGTGGTTTGATCTTATTGTCAAGGTATAGGATCCATTATGCATATATACACTCCATATAGATGTAATCTATATGGGCATATGGTTATTGTGTGGTGGGTGTTACGTAAGGGTGTGGCTAGGTTTAGGGTTGGGTGGTTTGATCTTATTGTCATGGTATAGGATCTATTATGCATATATGCACTCCATATAGATGTAATTTATGTGGGCATATGGTTGTTGTGTGGTTGGATGTTGTGTAAGGTTGGGGCTAGGTTTAGGCTGGTTGGGTTGATCTTGTTGTCAAGGTATAAGATCCATCATGCATATATATACTGCATATAGATGTAATGTATGTAGGCATATGGTTGTTGTGTGGTTGGGTGTTGGTTAAGGTTGGGGATAGGGATATGTTTAGTGTTGGGTGGGTTGATCTTGTTTTCAGGGTTTAGGATTTATCATGCATATATACATTCCATGTAGATGTAATGTATGTGGGCATATGGTTGGTTTGTGGATGGGTATTGGGTAAGGTAGGGGCTAGGGTTAGGGATGGGTGGGTTGATCTTGTTGTAAGGGTATGGGATCCATCGTGCATATATACACTTCGTATATATGTAATGTATGTGGGCATATGGTTGTTGTATAGTTGGGTGTTAGGTGAGGTTGGGGAAATAAAGTGTGATCTATGCATAATAGAACCAACAACAAGAATCCTTGTTGCCTTTGGTGAAGATTACTTGTCAACAGAAATGCAATATGTTCATGGAATTCCACTCAAAGATGACTGCTCTAAGGTGTCTATTGAAGAAGTCTTAAAGGAGAATGAATATTTACCAAATCGAACTACCTAAGACAAACTATGTAGAGAATAACTTACAATTTTGTTGCTTGTACAAAAGAGGTTGTCGTACTACAGGGACATGTTTGTTTATTCTGTTATATCTTTTGAGTATTTTTTTTATTTTAATCTTTTTTTTAATGTTTGACGATACATAAAAACTGTGTTTTCACATGTACCTACTGCAACTTCAACTAATGACGATAATATTGACAACTCTAAAAAGCACAAAATAGGTTACATGTCATCTGTGGCACTGATGACAAGGAGTTGGGTTAATAAGTTGAAGAATTAATGTAGACTTCAATTTATGACTTATATTTCATATTATGTTTGTATACATGATAGGTATATTTTGATTATTACATTTTTGTATATTATTTTAGTTGGATTTTATGATTAATATTTTTTGTCTTTTATTCTTGTTTACTGATATCATATATATTTGCAACATTTTAATATTGTCGTCGCCTATTCCTAAATGTGACCGAATGTTAATTAGGACCATGATCACAAAATTAAATGTGGCTAAAGGGTAAAAAATAACCACACCAGTTAGATAAAATGCGATGGTTTTAACAATTATGTATAACCAAAGGCAAAAAATGGCCACATTTTTTCTTTATGAGTCTTCTTTATGTGACTAAATGATATCATATGTCACACTTTTACGTGAAGGAATGTAATAAAACGGTAACAAATAGCCACATCATTTAGAAACAATGTGTTGCTATAAGTAATATACAACGATAGTTTTAACAATTATTTATCACAAAAAGCACACAATTGTCACATTCTTTTCTGTATGAGTTATCTTTATGTGACTAAATGATATCATATGTCACAGTTTCACATATAAAAATGTCACTAAAAGGTAAAAAAATGCCACATCAATTACAAAAAATGTGTTGCTATATGTAATATTCAGTGATGGTTTTAACAATTATGTATCACCAAAAACATAGAATGGTCACATTCTTTTCTTTTGAGTTATCTTTATGTGACTAAATGATATCGTATGTCATAATTTAACATAAATAAACTTCACTAAAGGGTAACAAATAGCCATATAATTTAAAAAAAAATGTGTTGCTATACATACTATTCAACGATGGTTTTAATAGGTATGTATTACAAAAAACCAAACAATTGCCACATTTTGTTCTTGTTTAAGTGACTAAATGATTTCATATATCACGCTTTATCGTAAATGAATATCACTTAAAAGTAACAAATGACAACATCATTTAGAAAACATATGTTTCTATAAGTAATATTTTGTGATGGTTTTAACAATTATGTATCATTAATACCCAACCAACGGTCATATTTTTTCTTTATGAGTTTTCTTTACGTGACTAAATGATTTCATATGTGACGTTTTAACCTAAATTAATGTGACCAAATGTTATCATATGTCACACTTTAACATAAATTAATGTGACTAAAGGGTAAGCAATAGTCGTATCAAATATAAACTAACCATGATTAAAACTAAACTCGACTCACTTTATATGTGACTAAAAGGTAGGCTACAGTCATACTTAAATGTTGAATTTCAATATGGTCGTAAGATACCTACGTTCTCATGACATATGATCACATTTTTTACGAAAACAAAAAATTGTGATGGTAGGATATGGTTACATTTTTCTAGCCATTAAAAAATGTGGCCAAGTCAAAATTCTTATAGTAGTTGATCAAAATGGGAACGGTTTGGATGAATGGTGAGATGATGAAATGAATCTTGTTGTTAGTGAAGATGAAAGTAGTCTTGAATATGTAGGTGCAACTACAAATAAAGGAGCCTCTACCGCTAATGGAGCCCCTTCCACTGAAGGTCTTAAAGATGAAGTCATTGACCATGACAAAAGACTCTTGAACAAGACCACTGTTGATGAGTTTCTAAGTAAGATATGTCCTCCTGAAGGAGAAAATGGTAACCATGAAGTTGAAAATGAAGATGTAGAAACTCGTTCCATTTTCAATCCGGACTTGCAATGGAAGAGGAAAGTACTTGTTCTTCAGATGAAATTTGAAAGTCCAAAGCAACTGAAAAATATGTTATGTAATTATGTTGTGGCAAATGGATACCACCCATTACCTTACTATCATTATCCATATACTTTTGTATTTGCATCATCAATACAACAACAACAAACATAAACAAAACCACAATAAACCTTAACTTCTTCCTTACCTACTTCAGTTCGTCTACCAAACGTTTGTTTTCTTCAACTTCCATGGCGAACTCAACATCACGACTGGCTTTAGCAGCAGTAGTTACATCATGCAACATCTCAAGCATAAAAATCCTAGTCTCCGGTCTTCCAGGGTAACTGTTATCTTTCATTAGTTGCAACTAATATTTAAGAGCGTTAAAGACATTCTTGTAATGTGGTGTCAACTCAACACCGATCCACCTGAAGAACTTACACTTTTCAGTTGCCATCTTCATCTACAAAGAAACATACCAAACAGGATATCAGGTTACACGGAGCACATAAACCTCATTTTCACATCAATGAAGATTCTTGATTTTGGGTGAAAAAAACGACATTATCGACATTAGTAAACCTTAAATTTGACATTATTGCCAGTATTTCATAACCGTAAATCCGCATTATCGACTACACATTTGAAGAAGATGATGATTACCATCGACTCGACACATGTGTGAAATATGCGAGATGAATTCTTGTCAAACCACGACATGCTTTCAATGCTTCGCATTGGATGACGACAATCACACTACGAGCCTCGATGCGTACGAACAACAACCGTTTGGTTCTCCAAGCTTTGTGATCCATATGAAAAAGCAATCGAAGATAAATAATTTTTTAAGGGTTCAAGAGCGACAAAGAAAGGTTATAAAAGGGAAATGACATTGTAGTTGCGGTCTTCATTTAGGGAATGAATATGTAGCTTATTTATGAAACTAGTGAGTCAGCTGCCAAGTGTGTATCTATGTGGACAATAATGTCCTCATCTACGCTATGAATTGAAGATGAACGGTAATACTAAGTTACAATTTACATTGGTATTAAACATGTATTTTTTGAGCTCGGGTGTGTGTAAAGACCAAAACAAAACAAAAATGGTTTTTTAAAATCTTATGTAAAACGTTCCAAAAATTAAAAAATAAAATCAAGAAAACAAAATCATGATGTACAATCATATTTTCATGTAAATTAAAAGTTAATATATACGAAAATTCTATTTTTTTTTTTATCAAACTTCAGCGTAGAAGTGCTCTACATAAATATATAAGCGGTTCAAAATCTTGAAAATATCGTTATGCCTATGCAAGATTTTTATTTATTTATTTATTTATTATTATTATTATTATTATTATTATTATTATTATTATTATTTTGATCTTCTGGTCCTTAAAATAATGCATTATAATCACTATAAATCAAGCAAGGATTCGATCGTGTCAACTCATCAACCTTCTAAGCCAACTCTATGCTCTCGTTTACGAACATGAGAAAATGTTATCATCTTCTTTTCCTTGGAAGATCCAGAGGTCAATCTATCTCAACTAATAGATGGGCTCAAGGAATTGGTTTCATCAGATCACACCATCTCCGCCACCATCCTCAATCACCACCGCCACCAGCATCACAAGATGGACCCCTACTCTTTTCCTCTTTTAACGTCTCAAGAAACCGATACTATGTGGGTAGTACTACTTCTCACAATTACTCTCGAGCAACCTTTTCTAATCTTAACCTTAATCATCACCATGCTCAACTCTCCACCCTCCACACGTTAGAGCTCGCCAACCATATGGCTGACAACCCACTCGATTACAAAGTGACAGTGAAGGATAGCGAATTCATTTCCGCAGCTCATGCACCAACTCACGAATTCTGGATCCCGCTATCCAACTTAGACTTACTCCTACCGCCACTTACCGCCGGAGTTTTCTTTTGCTACAAGAAAAATGATGACAGTAGTGCCATGTCAACGGAAACGGTTGTGAAAACCTTAAAGAAATCTTTGGCGAGTGTGCTTTCCACATTTTATCCCCTCGCCGGAGAGATAGTGCCAAACAGGCTTGGGGAGCCGGAGGTACTCTGCAACAACAATGGTGTTGAGTTTATACATGCTCACGCTGACGTGGACCTGCAAAACCTAGATTTACACCACCCTGATGAAACCGTCAAGGGGAAGTTGGTCCCTAAGTTAAATCGTGGTGTGATTTCTGTTCAGGTAAAAGCAAGCCCCATTAAATATTGTTATTTAATCATAAGTTTAATAAGTGAATAGAAATATATATAGAATTAATACGAACTTATCTAGTTATCTCATATAATCGTTATTTTCGGTAATATATTTATTTTGTTCAGTTTAGTTAACATACCTTAATTTCATTCGGAAATTTAATGTATACCATAAAGTGAAAAAAAAAGTATGTAAAATAAACTAAAACAATATTTGTTATTGCCCATGCAAAAAAAAAAAGTGTTTCCAAACCATTGGAAATTATCATAGTTAATTTAATTAAAATTACGTTCATATATACTTGGGTTATTATGACAATCTAATTTTATAAAAGTTTATGCAAATGGAGATAAAGTTTTTATTTATTTATGTAAAAATTTTACAAAATTAATGAATTAAATGAGTACTAGGTTCGGCCTACCGGATCAGGAAATTTGACATAAAACCATTGTAAACAGTAAAAGAAATATAGACAAAGCATCTCAAATAAGTCAACTACAAAACACCTTGAATCATTTGGAAACGTATAGACACTTATTTGCTTTGCGAATAGTGATTTCGAAAAAAATAAATACATAAATAAACTCGTAAGACACTAAGACTACGCTATTTCATATGTTGTAAAATCTGTACGAAACTTGAAACCTTATAGTAATTAACTCATTTACCTGGACTTGCTTAAAAGGTGACTGGAACAAAACTATTATCGAACCGTTATTGATTAGTAGTTGACGACTTTAGGCCAATAACTTAATTTTTAATAATATCCTTTAAGATTTAAATTAATAATACAGCTGGTAGTTAAATTAAATAGTATAATTTGGTCAAAATGTACGCATCTAACGTACTGAAAGAGGTAAAGCTTATTGATTTCCTTCAAGGCTAATGTTTCTCCTTATTTTATAGCTTGCCGTTGATTTCTAACCTTCAAAATTTTAAAAATATTGCTATGTTATTAGTTGACTAGTCTACTTAATTATTTGAATATATTTTAATATCTTTAGTTGATCATATCATATATAACATGTCAACAACCATTAACACGAGAGTTGAAGTCGTATCTATTTATAGTTCCCATAAAACTAGATGTATATGTGTTTCTTCATGCTTAGATATGAAGAAAGAATATATGCTTGTATCCATTTTTTTATTGTGACGAAAAGATAAACTTCATTACTTTTTATCTATCACTTATCTAAAAATTAATCTAAGCTTTATTTTTGGCATTCGCGATTATAAAATTTCATGAAAATGAAATTCATCTTGACACGTAATAATTAGCTTTTTTAAGCTTTTTTGATTTGTCATTTTGGCAAAACCAAATAATAATTTATAAGCTAGTTTTGTTAAATTTTAAAAACTATACAACTAACATTTTAATGAGTTTATTAATATTTTATTATTTATAGAAAAAACTTAAACTTCTACATGACTTTTTATTTTGTTTTACATATTTTAATTAATTTATCAACTAGTTTTATCAAATATTTATATATATTTTTTATCAGTTATCTTATTATTTATTAGATTACAATTAGCTTTTTTGCTAAACTAGCTTTTTAGTTACTCATCAAATATAGACTAATAATCAGTATAATTAATCATATCTTATGTCGTTATCTTATGTCGTGAAACATTACAAAACCTTTCAGGTTTTCTCGTTGTCCTCGTCTTGATTACTTGTTTTAAACATATTAAACATCAAGGCCAATATGTAGATTTTGAAGGCCTTTTGTGAATTAATAATAAAAAAAATGCTTCGTAAAAATAATTTAAAGAGGTGAGTTTTGGTGGAAAAAAACTAAAAAGTGAATTAAAATGTACAGATACATATCTATAATAGTTGGGATAAATACGTAAGGTATATATGAAAGTTGATTTAATAAAAGAAACTAAGAAATGAAAAGAAGGGTAGATTGTAAAGTATGAAGCAGCATTAAAATGTAACTTTGAATAAAAACTTATCTTTGGAGAAATAACAGCAACAAGACAAGAACACGAGTGTTTAGGCAAAGAAAACGGCGCGCAAGACAACTAAACCTCAAGATTCTTATGAATATATATATATATATATATATATATATATATATATATATAATATATTCGAATAAAATGGTATATATTAACACAATAATTAAATAATTAATTTGGCTAAAACATAAACCATGTACTATCACATATCCACAGTTTAATTAACAAAGATTATCATTAAACTAGAAATCTTGTTAAAAAATATATAAAAATATTGTAAATTATGATAAATTTTATACAATAAATAAAATAAATATAAGAAAAAAAATACATGATCATTCAGTTGTAATGATCAGTTTTTACTGTTAATAATCTTTATATATTATATTATATATATATATATATATATATATATAATATATATATATAGATATATAGATATATATATATAATTAATGTTTTAGGATCATTATGATCATTTTTTCAACAATTGTTTTATAACTTATCTTATATTGAAAAAATAAATATATGTAAATTTTTTTAACTTCTACCTATATTAATATTCGAAGAAAAAAAATTGCATATAACTTAAAATGTACACCATATGCATATTAGTAAAAACCATTTGTTTTGAGTTATTTTCCATCTGTGTGTTAATATGTACATATGCAGATGTACACATATGCATATTTTCATTAGTGTATATGTGCATATGTTACACATTTTACGTAAAAAGAAAAAAAAAATCTTTTTTTCTCGAATATCAATATAAAAGGAGGTTAATAAATAATGAATTTAGATACTTTTAGTTTTTTTTTATATGAGATAAGCTCTAAAACAAAAATTAAAAAATAATGCATCTTTGAGTTTCTACTTATCACATTTTTTTAAAACTTTTTCTTCATATTATTTTTTTTAAACGTCTTAGAGTTAATTGTCTAAGATGTTGATATATATTATATATATTATATATATATATATATATATATATATATATATATATATATATTCTAATAAAATAATAGTTTTATTCTCCTTTTGACATATTTTATCCTATTAGACCTCCTAATTAATGCATATTTTATTATTTTTTTGTCATGTATCACCCTATTATGCTTCATAATTAATGAATGTCATTTGTCAACCTATTGTTTCTCCATTTCAAATTTTAAATTTCCCACTTTAATTACATTAAATTAATAATATTAGAATAAAATTTTTAATAAAATTAATACAAATTATAAAGTGATATAATTTCACATATTTATTTAAATCAATGATTACAAATTTATATAACTAAAAATATCTCTTAATTAATAATTTATTTAAATTAATTGATTAATAAGTTTGAGTTTTTACTATAAAAGTTTAATTAATTTTGTAACCGTGGTTCTCACGGGTTATAAACTAATATATATATATATATATATATTATATATATATATATATATATTATATATATATATATATTATATATATTATATATATATTTACGTGAGGATCTCATTGAATACAAAATAAAAATATATTGGAAAATTTTGAGAACAGGTGGCGATATATAGAATTATTTTTGATATATTAGATTAGTCAACGAAGGGTTAAGTGGAGTGATTCTATTGTAATGAAAATATAAATCGTGTATTGTTAGTTAAGTGTCACCCACAAGCAAAAAAAAGATATTGGATAACAAATTTTCGTAGATGTAGACAGCTAGAAAGATCGATCAAATATCATGATCTATTTGCACATCAAAAAAGTAACTTTTAAATATTAAGGCTAAAAATGTGCTTTTTAAATTAAACAGGTGACAGAGTTAAATTGTGGAGCAATAATACTATCAGTTGCTTTTGACCACCGTTTAACAGATGCTCAATCTTGCAATGTGTTCTTGGCTGCATGGGCTGACATTGCCCAATTCAATAAAATTTCAACTATTCCATCTTTTCGCTCTTCAATTCTTAGCCCAAGACGCCCACCGTGTCATGACACAACCTTTGGCGATATGTACATTCCAATATCATCAATCCCTCCCCCACCATCGTCCTATGAGGACATACTTTTTAGTCGTATCTACTATATTAGTGTTGAATCAATTAACCGCCTTCAGTTGCAAGCAAGTACAAAAGAAACTAGAAGAAGCAAACTCCAGTCATTTACAGCATATATATGGAAATTATTAGCTGAAGAAGGTGATGATGATGTGAACAAAACATCTAGGGTGGGTGTCATTGTTAGCGGACGAAATCTCCTAACTGGAAATAGCAAGGAAGAAGCGTCTTTGTTAAAAAATCATTATGGAAACATACTCTCTATCCCATATGGCAAGGAAAAAAATCATCATCTCCACGAAATGACACTTCATGAAGTCGCAAACAAGGTTCATGAGTTTGTAAACAAGACAGCAAACGAAGAACATTTTAGAGGATTAGTTGATTGGGTAGAGTTGCATCGTCCAGAGCCAGGAGTTGCAAGGGTATATTTCAAGCTACAAGAGAATGATGGGGACGCAATAGTTGTTTCATCTGGACAAGGTTTACCAATTAAGAATATGCAGTTTGGATGGGGAGAGCCAAAGTTTGGATCGTATCATTTCCCTTGGGGTGGTGTAACTGGATATATAACTACAATGCCTAGTGCGAAGAATAATGGAGATTGGGTTCTTTACGTGCATCTCAAACAAGAACATTTGGATTTGATCAACAGTAAGGCATCTCACATCTTCAAGCCCTTGACTAATTCTTATTTAGATATTCGTTAATGCACCTGAAATTTAATGTTTTTGTATATGTTTTGTATATATGTCCCCTTTCAATTTTTCTTACTTCTTTTATGTGTGCTTTTTTACCTGAAATTTACGTGTATAAAGGATAATCTTAAGACAAGATGATAAGATTGCAAACTGTGCGTTTAATGTATTATACTTGGTTTAAATAAAATTTTCTTTTTATATTTTTAAATCTAGTACATCTAGACTCAACATCAAAAACCATAAAGGACTAAATGTTAAAGCAAAGAATATGATTCTTCTATTCACAAACATTCAAATTATTTTTTGAACAATTATACTTTTATCAAAAAGAATAGACAAAAAAAAAAAACCAAAAAGACTACCACAAAACCACCCATACATCCAATGGAAAACAACAATAAATAAATAAATAAATAAATAAATAAATAATAATAAATATTAACGCCCTTAATGTTTTTTTTTAGTTCGAAATAAGTTTTTGTCCCTTTACCATTGAGTCTCCATCTAAGCTATCAATCGCGCGCTATAGCGGTGCTATAGCGTTTTGCGGTGGTCAAGAACCGCTATTTTCAGTTTAGCGTTTTCGTTTTGCGTTACTGCTATTTGTGGCGCTATTCACCGCTATTTCAATAACCGCTAAAGCGGCGCTACGAGCACTATTCCATTTTCGTTCACATTTTGGGCTAATTGGTTACTTTGTCAATGAAAAACTGGTTTTAATGATCTCACTACACTTTCATTTTAAAACCCCCGAACAACAAACATAATTAAATGCATTCAAAACAACTACGTCTACTAACAACTCTCTTTCTTATCTCTTTCTATACTCACGATGACTTGAGCTGCTATGGTCGGTACTCCATTAATATTTTTTGTAAATCGACCTACACCTATGAGGCTACGACTTGAGACTTAACTCCTTAAATCAACCACGACCTACTAATAGGATATTGAACCCGTGCAATGCGATTAAACTCTATTTGACACGTTACACGACCTAGTTTTCATATTACTATAATATAATATTATGTTTTGTTTTTATATAACTTTTTAGGTTTAATCATATTAATTCTATAGACTTATAGTATTAATACTCAAATATATAAATTCTATATAAATATAATATAAAATTAAAAATTATACGTAATATTAAAAAACCATTATACCACCGCGATAACCGCGATTTCAAATAGCGGCATGTGACCGCTGTTAAAATTTTGACTGCGATAACTACATAGGTCTCCATGAGTGATGAGATTAAAATATCACCATTTAAAAAATCCAAATCCAAACTTTCTAAAGAGAAAATACACAAGAAAAATATATGAGCCTCATTTTCTTTTGCAATGTTACACAATGTGGACCATGATGGAGCAATATGGATGCATTTATCGATATTTTTTGTCATGGTGGGAAAGTTCCCACTTAGAATTTGCTAACGCAAAATATTGGCTTTTCTAGAAACATAATTATTTAATTTTTAACCGACCCATCCAATGTTAGAAATTTGGGGTATAATAACACTTGGGAATCTAAGAATCGTGAATATCACTTTCAGATTGAAGTATTTAGGTGATACTTCCGGTCTTCAAACGGATAAGACTCATAAATGAGAGAACAGAATAGAGAATGAATTGATATGATTTTCATAAGTCCCGTAAAATGAAGAACAAAATTGCTTACATACCTTTTCCATAAGAAAACTGTCACAAGACATTTTTATGTCTGAAAAATTGTCACTAAAGCAGTTTAAAAAATTGTCACTTATTCAGGTTTTTTCTATAAGGGTCAAAACAAAATCAAAATCGGGTTTATTTCCAAGAATTCAGATTTTTGATGCATTCTTAATATAGCAATATAACCCAAAGTCGACCACAGCCAGGGTCAAAGTCGACCCCACCCAGGGGTTCTTCCTCTTGGACCCTGCCAGGGGCTACCGCCCTTAGACCCCGCTCCCAGGGGCACTGCCCCATGACCCCCATTCCTTCAGGGGTTTCGCCCCTAAATGACAATCTACTTTAAATCTTGAATAAACTTAAACAAGTGTACACTCCGCACGCACCTTCCTTACTTGTTTAATATTCATCAAGATTGATTTTGATCAACAAGCCAATCCATTACACTTAAATACACGTTGATGATGCAAATCACCAACACACCAGGTCAATTATTATAACTTCATTCTAAATCATCGGTCTAAAAGATTTAACCAAAATATACATGAAATGTGGTTGTCATTTGCAGTTGTGTATACTAGTCGGAAATGTAGTGCTGAAATCACTCAACACGGGCCTAATGATCTTTTGATGTTCCAATTCCATTCAAGTTAGACGCTAGAGACCAAACACTTATTAGAGTGAGCACCAATTCATTAATCTTAAACCAAACTTATGAGTAAGTCACAAGTGATAGAGAAGAGATTTGTTGATACAATGATCACTCAAAAAACATTAATATTTAAGTATATGGAATATTTACATAGATTGAATTTAATTTTTAAAAAATACATTAATACACGTTTTGTAATAAACATATGATCTAATGTGTGTGAATAAAAGAATATATTGTATTGGTAGTTATACATGAATGAAAATAAATGTTCAGGATCTAATTTCCTTAAATAGAACTCATCAAAATGCACATCATTACTCTTTTCAATGACTCCAATTCGTTAATTTAAAAGTTAAAACTATATTAGCAATTGATTTAAAAGAATTACCATGAAGATCTCCTTTATCTAATCTTGGTTCAAATTTGCTTAATTGGTCCTTGTTATTCTTTTTAAAAGAACGGAAATCAAAGAAGTGGAATATTTTAACATTTGGATTTCTTTTTTTCATTGCTTCATACGGAGTAACATCTAATTTCATGTTTAGTAGATATCTATTTTAGTAAAAAAAATAGTAGTTATGGCTTCAACCAAAAAAATATTGAGGTTAATTGGTAAATGTCAACATTAAAATAATCATTTTGTTAGGGTTATGTTTCTTCTTTCAACCACACCATTTGATGTTGTGTATAACGAGATTAGAAAATTTTATATTCTTGTGGTAACTAAGAAATCATACAAAGTGATGTTTTTAAACATAGTTTCATTATCACTTCAAATTCTTTTAAAAAGTTTCTATACTTATAGTTTAATACATCTTATCAAGTTAATCATTGCAACTATTGTCCCCGACTTCTAATTATATTGGTAAGTCATTTAGGTGTTGTTTGTTTTTTCTAAAAAACCATTCTGACCACTTATTGTTGTGCCGCACAGCACTTGGCCCTTCGCAGCTGTTTATTTTTCAAAAGACTTCTGACTTAAAAACTATTGTGTGTGTGCTGCGTAGCGCAGCACTAGACCCTCTTCTTCAAACATCTTCACACCTTACATTAACTTATTGCAGCAGTCTGTAGAGGTTAAAAAACAAATAGGTCTTTTATTACATGATGCAGCCGTTTGATTCTCATCTACAGAGGGTTGCAGAGGTGGTTTGCAGACTTCAGACATTTTCGCTTCGAAAAAACTAGTATTTATTGAATTTCCTCCATATATTAACACTAGATTTTGATGACTAACATAGTTGGTTAGTTGCTTCATACTAACAATTATATTAGACCTTGATCTTGATTGGAATACATCGTATATTGATCATCATAGTCAGTGAAATCAATCTTAAATGTTAGTATCTTTAGAAAAAAAATTAATGGTGGTGACTTTTTGAGAAATACATTGATTATACATAAAGTGAATTTATTCATTTGTATCATAATTCAAATATGTAAACAAGTAATTTATAACATATGTGCTTTCAGAATTTTCAAGTTTGATGAATTATGATAAAGAAACATATTCCCATCATGACATTTATATTTATATTTGATATGTAGATGTATCATAACCTAGACCGGTATGCTCTAATGTTGCATGTGATCATAACTTTGGGATTGTACAATGTTCATCTATAAGTTTTTCTGCTTTCTTAAACTTGGCCATTTTCTAACATATCTCATGATTGGCTTTTGCAATTTTGTCTCTTATATTGTAGTTGAATGGAATATTTTCCTAAAGTATTAAGATGTATTGCATTCTTAATTTTAAATTCCATTTCCAAAGTACATACCTTATGTATTATATGGTGAAACGTCCCACTTTCAGAATCAAATTTTTTTTTTGTTAAGGTAAAACTTTCCAATTATAAAACCATTTTAAGAAAAAGCATTTATTCCGAATTACAATTATCGAAAATCAGAGTAATATAAATAGCGCGGAATCTTCAATGTTGTTAATGCATGTGTACAGTCCCGCATTCGCCTTCCCACGATCACCAATAGAACTTGAAACACAAACAACTGGGTAAGAACAAAGATTATTAAGTCATCCTCCAAAATACCCCATAAAACAAATATACTAGCATGCAAATTAGGTCCACAATCATCGAATTGAATTACCTTGGCCCAATCAGTCGTCAAACTGGAATGCCAACATGCAACGGGTCCAATCAGTCATCGGACTGGAATACCCATGGTTTATTAGCCCGCGGCCTCAACCCAACCGCTCTTCCCGAGCCTCCGTGCCTACGGCTTGCAGCCGGCCCGCACCAGGAATCTTGGCCTACAGCACTGTAACACCCAGAAATTTAAAAGGTTAATTATGGAAATAAAACCTTATTTCTAAAGGCCAACTCGTCGAGTTTAAGGAAAAAGATCAACTTGTTGGAAAGTTAGGACGCGCATTTTAAAAGACCAACTCGACGAGTTGGGGAGGATCAACTTGACGAGTTGGACAGGGTTTGGGAAACCCTAGATTCGGGATTTTGCACCCCATTTAAACACCTTATGCTTTAGGGTTTGGCCTCATTTCCAGCCTCCACTGTCCTAACCCTAGTTCTCGAAACCCTAATTCTATTGTGAGTGATTGTGAGCCTTTTTGAGTGTTCTTGTGGCTGTTTGAAGCTCTTGGAAGGAAGGAAAGTTTGAAGGAACAAGGAAGAGTTGCTAGATCCAGAAACCTCACTCCATTTTCGTCACTTTCTGGTAATCAAGTCTCAAACTTGCTTAATGGTTGATTAGATCTCCTTGTTAACACCTTTTGCTTGTTTTTGGTCCAAATGATATGGTCCTTGAGAGTTGGACGTCCAAAATGGAAATCACTTCAGATCTAGAGT